AATTTTCCTAGTTTATGCTTCAATATAGTAGCTGAGTGTTTTAACTTTCATAAATTCAAATAAACTAATACTTAATAATAGTCATGAATATTTTATATCTAACCATTATAAGTTACACAGCAGAAAACACTTGGGCACAATTGGGTGCAACAAGAAAGTACTTAAGAAACACCCTGTTGTGCCTGTGTGTCAGACAAGTCTCAGCTGAGAATCTCTTGTCTTTGATCATGAACTGTCAGACTCCTCATGTTCTTTTAATGTGGAGCATGCTGTGTGCCTCTCGTTTTCTCTTTCTGTCTGTGCAGAATATGTGAATCTGCAAACTAAAACCTAGCTGAGTATAATGTGCGCTTGGGCTTATGCTGATGAAGTGAATCCTGTAGTCCTCACTTCCCAAAACCAAACTGGTTATGTGGCTTTTTGTTTGTTTGTTTTTCGTTTGTTTGTTTGTTTTGGAACTGTTCAAAGTCGAAAGCCACGTATTCGGCAGAAATTTGGGAAGCTTGGAAATGTGTGACCACATAAAACATTTGAAAGCTGCAGTGGCTGTAGCACCATTAATTCTTATTAATACCTTGGCTTTCCAGATGACTACTTTAGTGATGCTGTAGATGTGTGTTGATTTATATCTATATAACACCTCCATCTAATGGAATTTACAAGTGGTGAACTTAACTATTTGATATACAAGTTGTATGCAAAGATTTCATCCACTCTAAGGATCAAAAGTAGCAGCTGTTCAACAACATACAGGAGCAGGAAATGAAAAGACATACTGTGACTTTTCCCTCTGCAAAGGGGATTTGTGTGGGCAGTTTTAAATTGCGCAGGTCAGAATTTCTTGCTTCTGAGAGGAAAATGCAGGATCAGTGCAAGGTTATCAATCACCTATACAGTCTGAACTAGCAGTACCTGGAGGCTTTGGCTTAGTACTAGGGGGAAGGAGAACACCCCTGTCTAATCCACTGTCATCACCACTTCTTGTTCAGAAGAGTCCATTTCCACTTAGCAGCATCTTCCATCTGAGGTATTCCTTGCACTGCTTGTTCCAAGTATCAGTTCACTCTGCTTATCTTACGAAGTAGAGCAATATGATGCTTCGCAGCATAGTCCTGGCTATCAGCTAAGAGAAATCTGATTTTTTTGCTTGCTGAAAACATTGGAAGACAGGGAAAAAAGTTATGGAACCATTATTTTTTATTTTTATTTATCACTCTCCAAACTTTGCTGGTCTTGCATTATGACTTGCAAATTGCTCACGCTTATTTGAGTGTAATACTTAAAACTAAATGCTGAATAACTTGTTTTTGCTGGTTTCTGTGCAACATGGAGCTTATTGATGATCCCTTGCTCCTTACTAATGCTCATAATTACTACTTGTTTAGCTGGTGCTTGATTTGCAGCCTCTTGGAAAACCTAACATCTCTGATAATGATAGTTCAGATGATTACTTTTTATTTTCCGAGTTGGCAGGCTTTAATTTAAGCCTGAAAACCAATTAAATGGTCATCTAGTTGGCCAACTATTATGTGCATATGTGTCATTGCACATGTATGCATTTGCATATTGTAGGTTTTAACTGTTTGGCAGTTGTGTATTTTCCATATCTAGAAAGAGCGGGCTAGTAAAGACAAACTTGTTAAAAATATATATTATCGAGGTAAGGTGATGGTGGTGCTGGTGTGTTGCCGAAACTTGCATTGAGTCCTTGCAGTAGAAAGTTAAGCCAGCTAGCATTCGTTGCGATGGATTGTATTGGTTGAAAAAGAAAAGTAAGAGTTAGGTACTTTCCTGCTTCTTGCTGCCAGGTGGGGTTAGCTTAGGACTGGAGTTGGTTGGTGAGGGGTGAGGAGAGAGGACCCCCAGAATGGGTGCTTTTTCTGGACAGCTGAGAATGTAGAGGAAATGGGTTTTATTGAGGTTCTGATCATTTGTTAGAAGGGTGTTTTGATTAATGTGATCCAGGCTCCATATCTTATTGTTAACCTATCCACCAAACTGACAAATACTTGTGTTCACCAATTACCTAAATTAAGTCTGGGTCATGCATCTCATCTCCTGCTCCTTGTTTGCTTTGAATGAATCCAAAAGTAGCACTAACAGCTGGAATCCCTGCTGAGGCCAACTTGATGTGCTCTGGAGCTGCTCCAGCCAGCGCTCTGATAAAGCTTGATATCGTTTCAACAGGCTCTAGGAAAACCAGAATGATTTCCCTTCATTGTTTAGGGTTTCATTCAAATTTTCTACAGGAAAAAGGGTATTTCACTTGTGCTTTTCTCCCTTTGCTGCTGCTCTGCTAGAAAACTTTTTTCTTTCTTTTAACGTAAACTAGAGTACAGCCAGTGCTTATGGAATTCTGTGTGAATTGTTCTGCTTGCACGTCCCCAGGGACTATGCATGTTGCAGTTGCAAAAGGTGCACAGTGTAAATAAATAAATAACGCATCAATGTCTCCGAGTCAAAGCATGTGTTCTTCTAACAGAACGTATTATATGGTAGGAGCAGGGGGAAAACTCTGGCCTTGTGCCCAGATTTCTATGGGAAGTAAAGCACCTAAATCCCTTTTAGGATCTGGCCTGAAGTCTATTATTCTTTGGCTGCTTTTTTTATTATTATTAACGATGTAATCAGATTGTTATTTGGGCAGTGCTCTTTCAATGGTACCTGCCCTCTGATTTTGTGTTAATACCTTTGATTTTGTTGTTGTTATTTTCAGTGTGCATCAGCCCACACTGGAGCTTTGCTCCCACCATGCATCTTGTTACGTGATCAGTAGGGGTCCCCAGTATAAAGGGACCAAGTTTAGCCAGAGGTTACTGTGTCCATTAATTGTTGAGCCTGATCCAGGCTGTTTTGACTGTGATGGGTGAAGGGAGCTGCTGCAGGAGCTGCTGAGCTTGCAGATGGGACAGGAGGAGCCGCTCAGACAGCGATGAGCTCTAGGAGGTGTGCAGAGGGGATTGTCCTGCTGCCATAGGTTTCCCTTGGACCTGGCTTCTGCCAGGCTTCTCCTCCACCGATCTTGTTTCCAGTACTGGCTTTAGCCTGGATCTTCCTGTTGTTCTTGGGCTGGCAATGAAATATCATTGAATTTGAGGTTACCAGCCAATTCTAACTGCAGAGCCACAATAGAGCAGATGGGACCTAAAGCAAGGCATCCAGCCAAGTGCCAAACGTGCTCAAAGAGGGCTTATTACTGAGAATTAAAGGTACTTGCTGCTGTAGGGCATAATCCCCTACTGCTGTAGGGCATCAGCCCCGAAGCAGCCATGGCCCGAGGTGTCCAGGCTGAGAGGTGCCTTCTGGTGACTACCACAGCCTGCAGGTATCCTGGGCCAGTGGCTATGGAGAAGACGGGCAGCACAGTGAAAGCCAATTTGTGCACGACTTCAAATACAGAGCAGTGTTTTTGCAGCTGTACGTGTATGCCTGTCCTAACTGGCCCACTGCTGTGAATCCAGGCCCTTGTCCTCGATAGCAGAGGGTCCAAGGGATCTATTATCCTGACTGATAATAAATTTTTGTCTTAGATTTTGTCAACACAGCAAAAGAAAGTCATGATTACAGTGACATGTACTATACTCTAACTGATTGCGTGTCTAACAGCATAAAATAGTGTGGGTTTAGCTTGCACTAGGAAGTGGAAGGCAAGACCCCTAAGGTCTCTTAGTAATGAATTTAAATTTCCAAATCAGTAAAGCCACATCTTCAGTGTTATTAGTTGTGCTTGACAGATTATTAGGGGAAGGTCAACCAACCACTAGACAATCACACCCTCGTTTTATGGGACAGGCATATACAGTTTTCTGTACCCAAGTTAGGATGTTTATGGTCTGGATAGATGGAAAGCTTGATGGGTAAAAACTGTTTGGATGGTTGGGTGCAGGCAGCAGTGATTAATAGGTCATGCTCTGCCAGAAAGCAGGCTGGTAGCAAATAGTTACTGCAGAGAACCTGACTTGTTTAACATCTCTGTCCGTGACCTGGAGCAGGGCACGGAATGCACTCTCAAGTGTGCAGATGTCACCAAACTGGAGTGATCTGTTGATTATATTTGAGAGAAGGCCTGGATGGGGTAGGGGGTGAGCCAGCAAGTTTGAGAGAAGGCCTGGATGGGGTAGGGGATGAGCCAGCAAGCACCTTATGAAGTTCAACAAGGACAAATGTAAAGTTCTGTACCTAGGAAGGAAGAACCCCTTGCAACGATGCCCCAGCACAACAGCCTCCTGGGCTATATTGAGAAGCACAGGCAGTGTGTTGAGGGGAGAGGTTTTTCCCCTCAGCTCAGCCCTGGTGAAACCATATCTGGGCATGGTGTCTGGGACTCCAACCTGAATTGCCCAATGATCATTGTCTTCACAGGCAATAAAAGGAGATGTAGGAGTGACGGGCCAAGACTTCTGTTACCACAGTTTCAGTGGACCAAACTCTATGGAAGGTGTCAGACCCTACTGCCAAGCAGGACCAGTAGTGAAGGAGATCATGAGACACAGATGTGGCACCCCACCAACAGCGTCATCTCTTCCACCCCTCCTGCTTGGGGTTCTGATGGTGTAAACTCAAATTTAGTGTGTTTTTGCCTTTTTTTAAAAAAAAAAAAAAGGAAAAAGAAAAAAGAAAAACCTTCAAAGACCTGTTGTCTTCAGTTCAGTCGTGTGGTTTGGAGTCATTCATATTAGGCTTATCTCATCATTCAAGGTGAAATTTAAACGCACTGTGAATGACTGTATCAGCACGTCTGCAGATGATCAAAGAGAGAAATGCACTTCTGAAAGCTGTTTGGTTAGTTCTGTGGCTCAGTCCATGAAAGCAAACATGCACTGCCCTGTGCAAACACAGCACAAAAGAGTTACAGATTTCTGCAGACTTTGCTCTGTGGACTTTTACCCACTCCTCCTGGGGAACTTCAATTTTTGTTGGACCACAGGGATATGTATGATAGCACCATCATCCTCCATATCTTCTAGTCCTTAAAGCTTAACTTACTGGGATTGCCATCTGCTTTCATTATGACACATCAGTTTTGCAATGACTGCTCAGCTTTAGAAATCCAGGCAAACTTTAGCTGAAACTGCTTCAAATAATGAGATGACAGTCACATAGCTTGTAGCAAAAGATAAATTTGCACTGTATATATGAATATTTTTCATGCATTTCTTCCCTAACCCCCCTACTCTGGTGTATATATGGTGAAACCTGAAGGATACTTATTTTCCGTTTGGAATTTCTGACTGGCCTA